GTCTCCCTTTCTCTCTGCTTCTTCCCCACTTGCACTCTGTCTTTCTCTCTCTTTCTCTCAAAAATAAATTTAAAAACATTTAGGGCGCCTGGGTGGCTCAGTCGGTTAAGCGTCCGGCTTCGGCTCAGGTCATGATCTCGCGGTCTGTGGGTTCGAGCCCCGCGTCAGGCTCTGTGCTGACGGCTCAGAGCCTGGAGCCTGTTTCGGAATCTGTGTCTCCCTCTTCCTCTGACCCTCCCCTGTTCATGCTCTCTCTCTCTCTCTCTCTCTCTCTGTCTCAAAAATAAATAAATATTAAAACAAAATTTTTTTTAAATATTTAAAATATTTTTAATAAAAAATAAAATAAAACTATAATGTACACCATACTCATGGTGAAATAATGAAAGCATTCTTTTTTAAGATCAAGAGCTCAGGAAGGTGAGTCATTCTAGTAAACAACTTGTGCAGATTCATCAGAGTACATAGAGTAACACAGGGAGTCAAGGGTTTTTTTTTGTTGTTTTCCTTGTTTGTTTCTTTCTAAGTGAGCTCTATACCCTACAGGGGGCTTGAACTCATGACCCTGAGATCAAAATTTGCATGCTCCACTGACTGAGCCAGCCAAGTGCCCCAGGAATAAAGGTTTGGATAACTGGGAAGGTAGAAACAGAATCGGCATCATGTGTATATGACATGACTCTTTATGTACGGAGCAAAAGTACTACATATAAATTAAGAGATTATTGAGAGATTATGGAGTTTGCTGGATATAAAATCAATATACAGAAATTATTTCGTTTCTGTACACCAAGATGTGAGAAAATGAGGTATGAAAAAAGATACTGTATTATATCTCTAAAAAATATAAAGAATCAGAAATATAAAAAATATAAGACTAGAGAGAATATAAAGGGGAGAGTCTGACTCTTGATTTCGGCTCAGGTCATGATCCCAGGGTTGTAGGATCGAGCTATGCGTGGGGCTCTGTGCTGAGCAAGGAGCCTGCTTGAGATTCTCTCTCTCCTCTGCTCCTCTCCCCTACTTACATGCATGATCTCTCTCCCTCTCAAATAAAAACAATTAATACACATAAACTATGATATATTAACTATATATAAATACATTAATTACATGAGCTATAGATTTAATGAAACTTTATTATTTTTTTTTAATTTTTTTCAATGTTTTTATTTATTTTGGGGACAGAGAGAGACAGAGCATGAACGGGGGAGGGGCAGAGAGAGAGGGAGACACAGAATCGGAAACAGGCTCCAGGCTCCGAGCCATCAGCCCAGAGCCTGACGCGGGGCTCGAACTCACGGACCTTGAGATCGTGACCTGGCTGAAGCCGGACGCTTAACTGACTGCGCCACCCAGGCGCCCCATGAAACTTTATTTTAAATGTTTATGTATTTTTGAAAGAGAAAGAGACAGAGTATGAGCAGGGGAAGGGCAAGAGAGACAGGGAGACACAGAATCCGAAGCAGGCTCCAGGCTCTGAGCTGTCAGCACAGAGCCTGACGTGAGGCTCGAACCCACGAACCGTGAGATCATTGACCTGAGCCGGAGTCGGACGCTCAACCGACTGAGCCACCCAGACGCCCCCCGTTTACTTTTTTAAACTGAAGCATAGTTGGCAGTGTTCCACTGAAGTCAGGTGCACAGTAGTGAGTGGACGTGTCTATACATTATGTTGCCTTCTCCGCAAGTGTGGCTGCTTCCTGCCCCCGCAGGATACCGGGGGCTAGAATTCCCACGCTGCTTTTCATCCCCCAGGACTTCTTCATTCCAGAACTGGAAGCCTGGATGGGCCTCTCACCTCCCCTCCACCCACCATCCCCTTCCTCACCCCCTCTGGCCACCATGTTTATTCTATTTATGGGTCTGATTCTGCCTTTCGTTTATTCATTCGTTTTGTTTTCACACGTAGGTTAATGGAGAGGGACCTTTTAGGAAGATTTCTCGTGGAGATTTATGAATTCGCCAAAGCGTTTTCTTCTTAAACATGATTGAGTTTATTAAATAGTATGTGCCATGTCCTGAATGTTGGTCTCCCCCAAATGCCCACATTGAAAAATCCCTAACGTTATTTGGAGGTGGCGCTTTGGGGAGGTGCTTAGGTCACGAGGGTGAAGCCCTCTTGGGAGGGGTGTCTCATAAAAGACCCCCAAGGGCTCCCTGCCCCTTCTGAGCGTGAGGACGCAGTGAGAAGATGGCCATGTATGAACCCTCCTTGGGTACCAAATCTGTCAGTTGCCTTGATCTTGGATTCCCCAGCCTCCAGAGCTGTTTCGAGAAATCGCTGTTGCTTATAAGCCAGTCTACGGTATGGTTGTAGCGGCCCAGATCCAGACAGTATGCAAACAATCCTATTCTTACATGACTTCTGTGTAACCTCCTCTCTTCCTACACAACCCGAGAGACATCTGCACTTACATTCACCAAGTGCTGGCGCTCAGTTTTTGGTGGTGGGATTTGGGAAGATTTGGCATTTCTTTCTACAGTGTTTCGATCTTTTATAATAAACGTATACCCTTTTTATAAAAATTAGTCATTTCTGGGGCGCTTGGGCGGCTCAGTCGGTTGAGTGTCCGACTTCGGCTCAGGTCATGATCTCACAGTTTGTGGGTTCGAGCCCCGCGACGGGCTCTGTGCTGACGGCTCGGAGCCTGGAGCCTGCTTCGGATTCTGTGTCTCCCTCTCTCTCTCTCAAATATGAATGTTAAAAAAAACTTTAAAAAAAGAAGTCATTTCTTTCAAAACAACTTAAGATTGGGGTTAAATATACCCAAATGGCATCTACATAATCTTGGTGATGTTAATAGATCTTGGTCATAATACTTTCGATACCGTTCTTTGAAATACTTCAATTTAAAAGATGAATTTAAAACATTCAAAGTGAAGCGGAAATAACCTGCAGAGGACAGAGGAATGTTGATCTCCAAATGAACAAGAAACTAATGAAAAAAATATGAAGTGGCCAAAAACAATAAATTATTCCCAAATCTTTTAATTTTAGTTTTCAAACGTATTACAGCATCCAGAACCTTCTCATTGTTGGTTGGAGGCCAAAACAAAAACTGGTCAGTAGTGACTTGAGAAACGTGTAGGAAAAATACCAAAAGAAAACGTGCCTCCTGGTGGCGGCTTGAAGGGCAAGACGTTTTCTGCTTCTGTGGCGCATACGTTGCCGCACTTGTCCAAACTCCGGACCGGGAGAGGCAGACGGGTTAAAAAGCTGTCATGTGGAACACGCTTTAAGCTAAGGCAAGGGCCTGACCTGCTCGCCCAGCAAGCTGGTAAAAAGCACCACGGAGCACGTGGTAGGTATTTGTTCAGAGAATACGTGTACCCTCGGGGGGGCGTCTCCCGCCTCTTCCCGGCCTGGGCAGGGGTCCCCACACTCAGCAGCAGCCCAGGCGAGTGGGCCAGACACAGCTGCCTCCCAGTAAAGCACTCAACGTCACGTTTTTGGCCAAAATTAGTAAACTTTATTTGAACTTCAAAAAAATAAAATAACAGACGAAAGGCAGCTTTAGCTTTGTTCTTCCATAGGATCAGATAGAATGACCCAAAGCAGGAACTACCCCTAAGAAGTTAAAATACCCTTTACCCCCAATCAAGCCACAGGCAAGGAGGGATCCTCAATTCGGGGACGGGCCCGGGGTGGGTGGGGTAGGAAGACCACCAGAGCCAGGCGAGTGGATTCTGAGACAGCACAAGTGGAGAACGAGACAAGAAGCCCCAGCGGAAACAGAACCAGAACGTCAACGAGGAACTTTGTCACAAGAACTATGTACAAGGGAGGCGGGCCGGGGGCCTGCGCCTCGTGAGGGCACCCCCCGGGCTGCCCTTGGCCCTGGCCGATGGCCGCTGCGCCCCGCTCACCCTCAGTTCTCCTCATCACTGTCGTCTGGGCTGATGGCCGGGCTGGTGAGGCTGTAGGTGGGGCTGGTGGGCGAGTAGCCGGGGGAGGTGGGCGAGTAG